CATCAGTGTAGTAACACAGAATCACAGAATAGTTTGGGTTGGAAGTGACCTTTAAAGATCACCTAGACCAAAACCCCTTCCATTGGTAGGGACATCTTTCACTAGATCAGGTTGCTCAAAGCCCCATCCAACCTGACCCTGAACACTTCCAGGAAGCGGGCATCTTCAACTTCTCTATGGGCAACCTGTTCCAGTGTTTCACCACCCTCATCTTCCTAATATCTTATCTATTCTCTTTCAGGTTAAAACTGTTGCCCTTGTCTTGTCACTACATGTGCTAGTAACAAGTCTCTCTCTGTCTTTCTTACAATCCCCCTTTATTTATTGAAAGGCAGCAATAAGGTCTCCCTGGAGTCTTGTCTTCCCCAGGATAAACAACCCCAACTCTTTCAGTCTTTCTTCAGAGTAGAGGTGTTACAGTCCTTTGACCATTTTTGTGGCCCTCTTCTGGAACTGTTCTACCAGGTCCATGTCTCTTTTGTGCTGGGGACCCCATAGCTGGACACAGTACCCAGGTTGGGTCTCACAAGAGAGGAGTAGAGGAGGAGAGTATCATGAGAGTATCTTGCTTCTGTTTGCTTCAGCTAAGAGTTCCTTGGTTTCTCTAGTCTGACTTCTAAAGTTTATGTCTGATCTTGTGCTAAAATATGAATTGACTTTAGTGAATAGCTTTTTCTTTTATTCAGCATCTTACAAGATCAAAGAATGTCTGAGGTTGGAAGGCACCTCTGGAGGTCACCTTATCCAGCATCCCCTGCTCAAGCAGGACCACTTCGAGCCCAGGACCATGTCCACATGGTTTTTTAATATCTCCAAGAAGGGAAACACCACCACCTCCCTAAGCAGCCTGTGCCAGTGCTTGGTCACCCTCTCAGTAACAAAGATGTTTCCTGATGTTCAGAGGGAACAGAGGCATTTCAGTTTGTGCCCATTGCTTCTTGTCACAGCACCAATGAGAAGAGCCTGGCCTCATCCTCCCTGCAGTCTCCCTTCAGGTATTTATATACATTAATAAGATCTTCCCTCAGCCTTCTCTTCTCCAGGCTGAATAGAGCTCTAGTCCCAGCTGGCTCAGCCTTTCCTCATGGCAGAGATGCTCCAGTCCCTTAATAATCTTCACCACCCTTTGCTGGACACTGTCCAGTAACTCCATATCCCTGTTGTACTGGAGAGATGCAGAGCTACGTTCTTCATATACAACTCTACCAAACCTTTTAAGATATTTCAAACACAAGTTACATGTAAGATGCACTGGGATTTATTTCCACTCTTTTTTTTTCTAACTAATATCAGATGATGGTAGTATTTTCTTGGCATAACTTGATTCTAAGACAGGTCAAAAGATCATGGCAGAGAGGCAGTTAAGTTTTTTTCGGCTTGCAGGGCATTCATATAATAAAGATACCCAGACAAAGCTCCCACTCTGTGGTTAACCACTCTGTGGTTAACTAGCTTGTGCCAGACCATAATTTCTGACTTTTTTTACACTTAAGCCATTCAGTTGTGATTGTTCCACACAGTATTAAGAACTGATATGTAGTTTTTCTACTACTAACGGAAAAATAAACAGCCATTTGCAAAAGCAGTATCGAATTTGTGTGTCTTCACACAGCTTGCAGGCAAGTCTACAGGGGGCTCCAAAACTCCTTCCAGTGATCTGGTTTGGATTAAACTAATGTAATGCAATTTACATCAAAAACAATTTCTAAACATGTCCATTTCTCTTCCTATACTCAATCAGGAATGAAGAAATGAAGGAAGGAAGAAAAGGATAATATTGCATTCATTCATTCATTCATAATGTTTTTTTTTTCCATTTTTAGACTGTAAGATGATTTCATCTGCTCTCATATGAATTATAATTAATTACATTAATAAGGTGCTTAGCCTACATTGAAAGAAAATTAATGTTATTAGCCAGAGAATAACTCTTGAAGGCATGTCACACGCAGTGACATTATAACTGTGAATGCTTTCAACATTGAATTCTGTTATACACACATCAGTATGCAAAAGCAGTAGACATACATGGTCCCAAAGCTTACCCAGAGACTTTGTGTTTTGTATTTTTGACATGGACTGTAATCCTCTTCAGCATTGGTTTAACAAGCCACAAACATGAAATATTCAAAGGAGTATTTTATTCATGTGTCTTATAGATTTTTCTCCTCCTTGCATGGATATTGCATTAGAATTGAATTACTGTCCAATTAGGTAATTAATTCTCAATAAATAAACAAATTAAAATTGAGAATTGTCATTTATTTAGAATTCTCATTCTGAGTGGACTTCTCTCTCTTACTAGAAAGGCTGTTGGTTTTTCTCTTGTAAATGGCAACTGAAGTCTTCTTTCTGATTCCAGCTATCTCTCAAACCAGGAACAAAATTTCATTTGCATTTCATGGTCCAACCTTGATATTCAGCTTTTTCATCACTTGTACCTGACAGTCCTAACTTCTACTTCTAACTTATCTTCTAATATTTTTTTTTCTTTTCTTTTTTTTCCCCCCATTCATCCACAAGGGTTTTCTTCAATATTTCTCACACAGTAGATAACACATTGTAAGTTACTTTTAGAACTGAGTTCAAGTTGGTGGTTCTTTTCCTACCATATGCCAAACACTTCTGATGCTGTACTATAATACAGTTTTCCATACACTAATTTTTTCTTCCTATGCTTGTGTTTTCTTGAATTAGAAGGTTTCGCAGCACATTGTTGTATCTGGGCTATTTTGTTCATATTGCTTTTGCAAGTTACATTCAGCTATGCATAAATATTAATTACTATCTAGTGAATAATAAGCTTTCCTCAAATAGAAGTTTTATAGTTTCCACTTTTTCAGCTTTTCCAGACAATTTTGTTTGACTTTTATACTGTAATATCTACAGAGGCATTCTAAGAAAATACTGGTTACTGACATCAGCAGTACAGTACATAAATCTATGTAGTTGATGTATTAAGACTGGAATTTTCAATGGAGGTTAATGGGAATTAATAATCCCTTCAATTGAAAAAAAAAAAAGGGGAAAAAAAAAAAAAAAGCTATATTATTCCTTCAGATTTCTTTGGAAAGGTCAGCCATAACTTTTTTTCATCATGCTAATAATGGAGGAGAAAGTAACAGAGGAACTAAACAGATTTTCTACCTCCTGGAGCAAATATGCAATCTGTTAACAGAGGGGTCTTACAAGACGTTAGCAAAACAAGTAACCAGACCTCCAACTAAAACAAAATTTGATGCTTATATACTAGTTTATGACAGATGAGGATCTGTTTCCTGATTGATTAAGCTAGCTCTGCTGCCACAATGCAATGGATTGTAAAGGACACTACATGAGGAAAGTCATGTATCTCCTCTGAATTTGTTCAAAATTAATATTTTATCACCAAATAATTTGTAACTCTGATTTATCCCAAGCTTTTTTTAATAATATGCTTCTGTCCTACAGTTTGGTTTGTTTGACATATCTCCAAAAAGTCTGTTATTCTTGAAGACAGCGCTGGTTTTCAATCTGTTACCACCTCTGCATCATTAAATAGCCTGAATCAGCAGCATGTCAGCTGTCTTGGTTTCCAACTTGCTGTTTAAAACCTGGAGCTACTCTCCAGAAGGAGGCAGAAAAATGTAGTGGTGGCAGCAGCATATGACCCAGGAGACTGGGATAAGGTAACTACCATGGAACAGGAGAAACAGTAAAATTAAACACAGATGGTAAGACCAGCTAATACTCAGTAGCTTACTACAGTGTGGATGCAAATAGCAATGACAACACATTCATACTTTTATCTAATGCAAGCACTTGATTGATCAAATGCTGGTTGCCATTGACAGAAGTGATAAAGATTCAAGGTGTAATACAACTTGGATGAAAGTCACTCTCTCATTACAAAACCTGATTTACAAAAGAGGTTTTTCTTGTCTAATACAGTTATCTTCCACATTGAAAACCCTTCCTACTAAGTGTATCACAGTTTCTCCCAAGGGTTTCCTCCATTTTTGCAAATACATTACAAATCACTAAATGTACTGTGATGCCTTTTTTCCTCTAGCTTCTGCAAATAGGCCTCTTGATGCAAAATATGCAAAGGAGTATACATTATGTTTAACTGCACATTCTTGCATAGTTAAAAACATGTATGCACCACTGCTGAGTATCTGTTTATAGCAACTTAATAAGGACGTAACTAACATTTTCTTGAAGAAAGTCCATTTGCACTGAGTTGTACTGAGAACAGAATTGACTTGGGGTTTATGGGACGGAGAAATGTAAGCTCATCTTTAGCTCCTGTAACTGCTATTCTCCAATATGACTCTCTTCCAATATGGCCTTTTGATTGTTTTCACATGTGATTATCTCTGGAATCAGAGAGTCAGTCCAATACATCTAGAGATAAGGGAATCCTGTTGAATGACATAAGATCAACTGCTCTCCAGCCTCAGAGAGAATGGAAGGCTCTGGAGGGCAAACTGTTTGGTTTTGAGTATTCTTCATGAACAGAAGTGGACCTTACCTGAGTGATTTCACTAATATAGAGAACTCATTAAAATATTCAGCAAATTACTTTTGCTAATAGTGTATACTGTAGTGACTTTATTTTAAAATATTTTAATATCAATATCATGTGGTCACTTTTTGAGTTAGTATATTGCTTTATGAGGACAACCTGCAGAGGCCAGATGCTCATGGGGTTGGATTCAATTATTCTGCTTCAAATGTCCAGTGTGGACATATTTCTGCTAAGTCCATACTGTATGGACTACCTTCATAGCCAAAGAAGAGAGCAGGCCTTTGTAGGATACAATAAATTTGATAATAAATTAGATATTACAAGAGGTCAGATTATTGTGTCTTTTCAATTACTGTTTCCCCTGAGTATAAAGGGCAAATACGTCAGATATAATTTAGTCATCCAAACTGCCAATGTCTGCATTTGGTGGACATGAATGTAAGTCTTCCATGAATTTCCTCCATTAATGTTAGAAGCACATGTAACGTACCTACACTCCAGTCCATTTCCTCCACTGCATCCCCATATAAACCATGCTTGCTCTTTCCTCTGAAATTTTTTGAAGCGTACAGAGCAGTATGGACATGAAGATAAGACAAGACGAGAAGAAATGGTGCATCAGTGTTCCTGGAAAAAAACAAAACAAAAAACCGCAAATGCACAAACCCTTAGTATATTTCATAACAAAATTTCGACAAATAAATGTTTCTACAATAAAGCTAAAAAAAAAAAAAAAAAAGGAGCAAAAGGAATACCGTAACTGATTAGAGGCTAATCCTAAATATACACACACATAGAGTAAAAATGTCACTCTTAACTGTATAATTAATTGAAAGCAAAAATAAACAACAAAATTTAATTAGTCTGCTATATGTATTGAAAGAGGACTTGTTTAAAGCAAAGAACATAGTAGTTTCTGCCTACAAGCACCTCTCTTCACTTTACAAGTACATATTTAAAAGCCCAAATACGATTGCTTTTCGAAAACTTATCTTCATAACTATGTATAGACATGAAACACAATTATCTTCCTCACAAGGTCATATGGAAGCTGATCAACTAGTCTGTTATGTGGACCAGGGTCAAACATACCAGAGTATCATTGATTATGTCAAATCAAGTATACTAGAACCTTTCCTCCTTTATCTTGGACTCAGGTATATGAGCAAACCTTCTCTTGTTATTTAATGCTCTGTGTGTTTATGCATGTGATCAGTACATAACACTATAAATATGTTGCACCAAAGAATAAATAATCTCAAGGAACATACTAATATAGAGAAATATTTTTCCTCTCACTGTAATGAACAGTATCCATTGTCCTCAGTCTATTTCCCGAACTGATACAAAAGTAAGGGCACAATAAATAGACTCTGTAAATTTTGCTGTTCATATGATCTGTCAACACGTTATTTATAATCAGCTCCAGCAGGCTGTGAAAGCACAGCTCAAGTAAGAACTTTTATTTATGCATTATTTATAGAATTTCACTTAAAATTGTGCAGTAGTAGCCAAATTTACTGCCATAAGCTCCAATAGCATTTGTAGTACATGATGCATTTGTAAATATCAGTTGAATCACAAAGGCACTACCCAGAAAACTTGTCTGGATCTCACATTAAAGCACACAGCTAATTACTGAGTATTTTGGCTTTATTTACCATATTTTCCCTAGTCAATCTGTGGTGGATAATTCCTGCAATTCATGACAACATCAAAGGGAGACTATATATTTCCTCATGCAGTTGTTTCATCCACCTTTTAAAGAGGTAACAATACAGACATGTATATACAAACTGTTTCTTTAAAATGAAAAAAAAAAATAACAAACCAACAAACCTCTAACATTTCGAACCTGAAAAAAAAAAGCCTTTTAATAAAAGGGGTTCATATAATATCAATACTTTTCTCTTAAGGAAAAATAAGTAGGTTTAATCTAGTATATTTATGACCCATTTTTCTTCTCTCCTTGGCTGGATCTGGTTTTGCACAAGTTGAATGGTTAAAGATTTTATTTTTTTATTTTTATTATTTATTTTTTTTTTTTTAGGCATAGGCAGCAATACATGAAATCAAAATGGGAAAATTTGATACAGATTATTCACTTGATAAATGTGTTTCTGACTGGGACATTTTCTTCACAAAAAGTTTCTCCTTTTTTAAAAAAAATGACAGAATAAATAGAACATTTTTCATGTAGAAAATTGAAACAAAACTAGTTTAATTCCCTTCAAATATATGTGCATGTATCCTCTATTATCTTAGTATTATAAAGTATTGATTCAAAAAAATAAAGACTAATTTTCATAAAAGATACACTTTCCATTAAGTTGTGCTTGTTGCTCTTTGGGAGGTCATACATGTGAGAACCTTTCATTACTGTACCAACAAATAACATGAGACCTTTGAGTCAATTAAAAATACTGAAAATGTCAGCACTTTAAGTAAAAAAAAAAAATGTGTATTTATAAGTTTAATATTTAATATGTATATTAATGTAACACTGACCTTTCATTAAAGAACATTTCTGCAAGGCAGTTGATTTTTGGTTTACAACCTGCATTTTTTACTGCATGGGATTATTTTTCACTTTTTCCTTAAACACAGTTCACTGAATTTAGAGTAATATACAAATTCTAGGAGAAAACACCAGAAAAATCTCCTTTATACTTATAATGGTGCAGGCACAATTTACTTTTCATGCAAACTGCCTTGTTCTAATATCACCAAGATAGTGCATACTTCTAAGTGTATATCTGTATTGCTAAAAGTGAGTATCAAAAGCCTACACTTCAAATGTTATTTCCAGAAGATAACTCAGGTTTGGTGGGTTTTTTGGTTTGTTTGGCTAGTTGTTTTGTTTTGTCGTTTTTTTTTTTTTAATGGAACTCACACAAAGATCTAACTTTCATGAAGAGTCATCAAATCAATGACTGATATGGAAGGGCACTACATCATTGTCTTCTTTGAAACTCAAATTGACGGGTTCTGATTGACAGCTCGCTGTCAGGTGGAGAAGTGTCTCACCTATTAATATCCTATAAAAGATCACAGGCAGCTATTTATCTCCTGCCAAAACTCTTTGAGGAGAATTATAACTGACTACCTTTACCATGACCTTGAAAATGGAATAACAATATCAGCTAGTAGGCAGGAGAGAAATTTGACAATAACAGCTTAACTCCTGAACCACTTCAGTAAACAGCTCTTTCAAAAATGTATTGCCACTATCTTTTACATAGTTCAAACACAGGGAACTTCAGTTTCAAAAGATCTGAGATACACTTACTCAAACACAGTAAAAATTTTTATCCTAACGTGAATCACACAGTCTTTTCAATACACTGAGCAGCCAGAGCAATTACACGTATCTGACACTGTTTAATGTGTGCTTAACCGATCTTGAAAACATCTAAATGGATGACATTGCTGGCGACTCCTCTGCATTGCACAGTACTAGGTTCTTCTTATTTAGTGTGAGGAGTCTTTACATTACTCAAGGATTCAGTTCAGGTTTGAGCTGCAGAACACAGCTTTAAAGCGGGTGAGAGAGCAAGGTACAACTAATGTGACTTTGTGCTTCACACATGGGTCTTTTAACTTTTATTCCTGCAATTTTGCTCTTAAATATTTGCTGCACTGAAAACTCCTTGGATATTTTTGTTTGCTTTTCTGTGCATTGATGTTCATCTAAGACCACTGCAGCAGAGCAAACAGGTGGGGCTCTGAATTTGTTGTTTTGCAGCTGCCAAATCAAACTGAGATTTTAAATACAATTCTATACAGGAAATGAGATGGGAACGTAACACAACAGGGTTCCATTTTACTTTTTCGCAATAAATTCTAAATTAACCTTTAATATGATGGACAAGTATGATCTTTCTGAACAACAATTTTTTTTTTTTTTTGCTAGATGTTAAATTATCCTCATATTCTGTCATAAAGTATATATTTTTAACCCCTTTAAGACTACCACATCCTCTGTACCAGTGAAGATACCATGATTCACAGCAGCTGATTATGAGAACTGATATTCTTAGCTTTGCTTGAGCTGGGCAAACACTGTGCTGTGTTAAAATTGGGTGAATTGTTTCCATAATCCCCAAAATAATATAAATTCCAGCTAATTCACCCATAAGACTGAAATAGCCTGCAAAGAACTATTTGAAATAGATATAGGGGTAAAATATATTACTTCTTATAAGGATAAGTACATATGATTTAATAAGACTTTTTGAATGAAAATATCTAATTTTCACATAGTCACAGTGCACTAGAGTCACAGCTAAAATGAAAGAAAACAAAAATGTTGAAGTATATCATCTGAAGATGTATTTTTAGTACAAATATGTAACAGTGTGTCCATACAGGCAGATGCAAACCTAATTTTTCCTCTTCTGTAACTCTTCTTCTACTAAAATATTCTTCTTATTCAATATACCCCCCCAGTGGATAAATTAATTCAATGCTTATTCCCCATGGCTCCCTACTCTACTTTCAGATTAGATCACCAATTAGACAGTGCTCTTTGTGACTGGACTGGCTGTGTGCACTTCATTAATCCTTGTTCCTGCAGAAGGAAAAGGTAAACCTTGGCTTAGTTTTATCAAAGCATGACTTTGTCCTACAAACTGGATTTTCTTTTGTTCTGATCACTAACAGTGCTAAAATCCTTGTTAGAATGAATGAATCCATGAATGAATATTTCTGTCTTATTCTTCTAAAATACATACTTTAAATAACAAATCTCATGTTTTCAAAATTTTTCAAAATCAGAAAAGAGAACCCCAGACCACTCGGCGGCAATTTATCAAAACTAGAAAACATGCTGAAAATGGAATGAGAAAGGGAAAAAAAAGTAAAAATATGGAATATCTGACTCCTACGAGATATTAAGAGTGGGATGTGCTTCTACTGTATCTGCATTTGTGAAATGATTCTTCCATGCAAATAGCCAAGATACTTTTGACATCTCTAATTTCATGCCTATTTAATCCTTTAAATGCTTAAGATGTACAATTCATATATGATTTTATTTCCTTTGTATATAACCTTTTTTCTCCCCTTGAAAAAGTACATTCTCATAAGCATGAGAAAGAAAAGAAATTTCACACCTACTATAGATTATATTCATTACTAAATCCCTCTTCCCTGCAAAACTTTGGAGACCAGTTTACAGATCTACTGTTTTTTAAAAGCGTTCCATTTACAATGCAGTCTGTCACTCACTGCAGAACTAGTTAGATCCTTAATAATTCTTAAATTATGAAAAAGACTGAAATCTCTCATTTTCTGATAATCTTGAAGTATATGAATAAAAATGTTAGCTTTGGGTTCAAAAAGAAAAAGGACGGGGCTGAGAAGAAAGGATGAAGATCCAGTAGAGTTGTTATGGCTTATAAGTTAGTACTATTTTTTAATATATGGGCACATATACATCATGTGTATGCAAAGATACATAATTTGTATGTTGCTGTAAACTATAGAATCTTCTTGTAGGATTCATAAAAACACTTGATTTCAGAACTGTGACTCAAGTACAACATGCCAACTGCCTGATCTTAAGACCTAGTGATATATGGAAAAAATCTAAACTACAGTCTGCTAGATTAGAGGAAAATAAACTTGAACATGTGTTGTAACAGTGTTTCAAGGACTGAAACAGAAGAGATAGAAAGAAAATTTTAAAATTATTAACTGTCATCACAGAATGTTAATTATGGTTATGCAATCTATGATTGAAAAAATAAACTTGCATGAAAATTGTTCAGCATCATCTTCACCATAGCTTTTGAATATAAAAATATTTGTATGCAAATACTGTTTTCCAGAAGTTAGATTTCATTAGGGTTTTTGATAGTGTGGTTTTTTTGGGGTTTTTTTGTGTTTTTTTAATATTATTGTTAATTGTGATCAGCTATCCAAAATTGTCAGAGAGGTATTCTGTATCACAGAGTGATACTTTTGTCCTTTTAATTTTTGATACGTTAAAGACAGGCTTTTTCCAAATTTGGAGTGTCTCTGCAGCTGGTCATTAAAGGACATGCTGAAGACACATAAGTGACACCTACAGTGAACTTAACATGAAACAGTTAGAATCCATTTGACTTTCGAATATATTGTAATATCTAGGGTGTTCTGATAGGTTTACAATATTATACACTTGCTCTTGTGAAAAGTAATTAGAATTAGCATACACTGAACTTACCTGCCTGCTTACAATTGGGGTCAGCAACTAAAACAGTATTTGTTTTCATGCACTGGACCTGAAACTTGTATATATTCTTCTCCAGTGCTATTTCTGAGCATTGAATACTGTATTTGCTCTCTTTGAATCTAGCTAGGAACAAATTTAAACAGTAATACACATATCCTAGACTAAGGAAGAACAAACACAGTATCACCTCTCCAAAAAACAGACCAAAGTGTAACAGCACATAGCTATATGCTATGAAAAAATTATAAGATGACTTGAAAAATACAAAATCTAATTATATATTATATACTTGGTAAGAAGTCATAAAGCTGACAATATGACTGAGAAATAGATAGAAAAAAGAATAATTTCAGGAAGTCCATTGCCTGAACTCTGAAGAACTCCTAAAAGTAATGTAGGTAAAAGGTATAATAAACTTGCACAAATGAAACAATTAATATAACTATATATACGTTCATGTATATTACACATAATCATATAATAAAAGGGCTATATAGGAAGTAGTAGTGCTGTTGAAGCTTCACCATGCACCATATATTTATTGTGGAGATACTTAACCAATTAAAACATGCATGAGAGCTGATAGTTTTCAGTTTGATGATAAAATGTATTAAGAACCAGCTAAGGTGAATTACTCTGAATTCTTCAAATTCAGGATTGCCTGAACTCTGGTATACTTGTGCATATGGATTACTGGTATATAGGATAGTGTTTGCTACTTACTGTATTATTAAAACAAAAAAGCCTGCATGACAAATCAAGTGTTGAGTCAAACATGGTTAAAGGAGGGCTGAGAGACCGCTCGCTGAAAGAAGTGGAACAACAAGAATGCTGTGGAGCTGCTGTGGCTTCCAAAAACCTGGTAGTACTTCACTTACGAATGCCAGATGTCTGACTGCTGCTGCACCCTAGTTGCCCCTTTGATGACCATTCCCCTACAAATGGCCAAAGTCAGTAGACTAGTCATAAGAGTAATGGTCTGCTGGTGCACTGGAGTTGACAGATTGCCCAGAAAAGTTGTGGATGGAAGTGTTGTCCCTGGAAGTGTTCAAGGCCAGGCTCAATGAGGCTTTGAGCAACCTGGTCTAGTGGAAGGTGTCCCTGCTCATGGCAGGGGTGTTGGAACTAGATGATCCTTAAGGTCCCTTCCAATCCATACCATTCTATGGTTCTATGATTCTATATTCTTAACACTGATTCTGAATTGTCTGGGTTGTAATTCCCACGACCACTGCAGCATTCCTGTAACAAAGTTTATTGAAAATTATGAATATTAACCTTGACTTCAATTTAACAACCCTTTTGTCTGGAACCTACATTGAGAACTGGGGCCAAGTGATCAGCTGATGTAAATCCACTCACCTCCAGCTGAGTCAATGAAGCTATACTGACTTAGATGATACACTGAATCTTAAGCTGAAAGAGGGCAGGTTTAGATTAGATATTAGGAAGAAGTTTTTCACTGTGAGGGTGGTCAGACACTGGAACAGGTTGCCCAAGGAAGTTGTGGATGCACCCTCCCGGGATGTGTTTAAGGCCAGGCTGGATGAGGCTTTGAGCAACCTGATCTAGTGGAAGGTGTCCCTGCTGATGGCAGGGGGGTTGGAACTAGATGATCTTTAAGGTCCCTTCCAACTCTAACCATTCTATGATTCTATGATTGTTTTTACAGCTCTAAACACTGGCTAGGCTATACAATAATACTGTGCACAACATTAATATTAATAAAGTTAAAAGAGTTACTAGTTTTCTATCATTAATTTCCAGTCTTGAACTCACCTGTTTTGGGGCTACTATTTTATTGTCATTGCATTGCATCGGAATCAATGAAACATTCAGAGATATCCAAAACATTATGAATCACTACAGGCACATTACATACTTGCAAATCACGGAAGAATTATCAGCACACAGTTAATATACTCAAGAGTCTTAAAGTCACCAAATGTTTGGTCACTAAGCAAATCAGCTCTCAACAATTTTCAAAGGGGCATATGTGTCTGTGCATATTTGTAGTTAACAAAGAACTTCACTATTAAATTAGGTAGAATGTAGATGAGAAAGCATCTTTATATGTATCACCACTGTCAAGAGGAAGTAAAGATGTTTCAGTTTATTTACAAATAAAGGGACTTTATGTCTTAGAACATGTTTTTACTTTTGATTAACTATTTTTAGAAATGGTGCAACCTGTTTCAAAAGTGACTGAGAAAAATACTTTGGCATAATTTTCAGGAAGTTAAATGTATGAAATACTTTTGTTCCAAATATATTGTTTTCTATTTCAGAATGTACAAATGTATACTTTTATGATATGATCCCTGTGGTGACAATTACACCAAAGTAGCTAACTTTGCAAAAATGAAGAATGACGTAGGATGATTTTGTATATCCAATGTTTTTCTACTTTTTTGGAAGTATTGTCATTGTGAAATGCTGTCATTAACTTTTAAGTTAGAAACTTACCTTCCTATAAAATGCACGGCTTCCTTTGTCAGTCTCTGAGTAAGGTTCTCATAGGACAGTGGTTGCTGGATAATCTGATGGTCCCTCATTAAGAAGCAGTTCAAGTGTCGAAAATGATAAAAGAAAAAAATCAAAACTGCAAGTGTAGTAGCAGTTATTAATAAGCAGTAACCCAACACTTGGAAAGGTACTTTCAGGAGGCCAATGTACTGCACTATTGCCAAAGAGATGAGGGTGATTCCAGCGATTTGGATTGGGATGACAAGGGATTTTTGAACTCCTTTTAAAAATACACTGCCTTGGCCAGGTTTGCAGTCTCTAAAATTGGTCACAGTAAGCCCATAAAAGTAATCAAATCCATGACTGAGGGGGTGGTGACAGAAGTCATTACTGCTTTCACAGTTCATCCCAAGATGCCACTTTCCTACAAAGAGAGAAGGACAGGGAGTATTTTTGTAGTTAAATCATCAAATTTATGATGTGCGCTATTCTAAACATGAATCTGTCACTATCTGACTGACATTCCTCTGCCCCCAGCATTTATTGTGTGGATCCCTATTTTCTAACTAATCTTTCTTTATGCCTTCATCAAAGACTTTGCCTCATGTCTGCCTCTTCGTTTCAGTTAGAAATTGTTTGGCACCACTCCTGACAGAGATAATTAAATTCTGAGTGGGCTAGCAGGTCACTGAAGAGCAACAGAGCCCTAACAGCTAACTTTGAAAATGAATTCTTTGTGCATGTATAGATAAGTAGTCATAAGAAAATACTGCTTTGTAGCAGCTACTACATTCTTAGGAAGAACCAATATGGAGTTACGAAAAATCTGAATTTTTTTCTAGCAAATCATTCATATTTGACTAGTTTTTTTGTTGATTTTTTTAAAGAAGAAAAAAGTAACAAACAGGACATAAATCAAGGTATTATTTAAATTACTGCAAAATCTCTGAAATTGACAATCTCACTCACTATACAGATAGATACATAGAGAAGGAGATTATTTTTATTTATATATATAAAAAATAAAAAAGAACCAACAGTAACAAGTAAATTACCACCAAATCTCTCGCAGTATTCTGTCTTGCTAGGAAATCAGTCTAATTCTGCAATAATGTTGGACACTGACTGACACAAGCAAACCGTGAATCTTATTTGCTTTATAGTAGCATAATCTGTGATTCTGTGTAACCTATGCTTATGCTGATCATCATTCTACGGCTCAGGTACAACCCCTTACCATACGCTTATGCATCTCTTAGTGCAACAGACCTGTTTGGTAGCTGTTATCTAAATTCAAATACATAAATTAAAAACCAAAACAAATTCAGTTAAGCCTATTGACATAAATCATGGCTAGAGCTATGCTTTTTAGTCTCAGGAAGGCAATGTGTTGAATATTTGACAAAACGTGTCACCTTTGACAAAACAGAGGACAATATATATTGCTGGGCCAAAATCTATTTATTTTTACTGAATCAAATACCTAAACATGACCAGCATAATTCAGGGGTTGTTATCTTAAAAGAAATAAACAAAAAAACCCGCAAACCCAGCAAACCCTCAGCCCCATAACCTAGCTCAATGAAATTTGAAATACTTTGTTCTAGAGACTTCAGGATACACATGGTAGAAAGTATATGAAAGGAAAAAAAAAAAAACCCATACATAAATTTTCCCCCTTCCCAAACCATCCCAGCTTTTACACATCTGTAAGAAAGACTCCTGATGCAGCCAGTCCTGAGCTACTCCTGGGTTTAGAGAACAGCATATTCATCCTGCACTTCTGCCTTGGCAATGACAAATGCAGGTACTGCAGTACCAAAGACGGTAAAGATGGGGGTCAGTTCTGAATTTTTTAAATAGTAGATAGCAAATGGGCTCCATGTCATTATCTCTCTTTCACAAATGACAGAATTAAGGTATAGGATGGGAATGTCATGTGCCTATGTCCACTCATGTGGAGAAAAATACCACAGAAATCTTGAAGGCTTAGTTGAGTCCAGTTCTCCTCGTACTTCTCTTGATGGTCTTAGGTTAGAAATACCTTCTGTATAGCATTTTCAGGTCTGCTTATGTGCCAGTGAAATGGAGGCCTCTACAACCTTCTCATTCCTTCAGAAGACATGACTGTCTACGGAATAATAGTAAATCCAGGTGTGCAGCAAGGTGAGCATGAAATAACGCTCATCAAGTTAGATAACTGAAATAAATCACTAATACAAATGATCTTAAAGTTTTATTTTTTAATTTTTTTGCTGTTATTTGTCAATCTCAAAGCACCTATAACAGTAAAAAAAAATATGAAAAAGAAACCTAAACAAATTAAATATACTTTCAAGGTCATTTATTATAATGTAATGAAGTTTGTTTAAACTAGATCTCAATAAAAATAGACATTGCAAGCCAGGACAAAAGAGTCTTGCAAAAATAAATTAGGACAGGGGAAAATATAGGACCTATTTTTATCGAAAGGGTTTTAGCAAGCACAACAAATTGTTCAATGTCAAAATGAACTTGGGCCTCAAAAAAAAGGTTTGTTCAGACACATCTTAAGCCAAACAAAGCAGACAGCAGGTTAGCTGGGAAAAGCAACAGAAATACTGGTTCAAATCATATTGGCAGCTGTGACGGAAAGACACAATTGCTGTTCTCAAATGGCTGACGAGGTAGAGGGTTTTGACAGATCCCACACTACTCTGAAAAAACAAGGGATGGTTGGGTCTACAACACGTTTTGTTTTATCCCTTGTGACAACAACCCTGCCTTGAGCTAGTGTTTCAACAGATGATTGTAATGTGCTTTACACTCTGGGGCCCTTCTGAATTTGAGACCAGAGCAAAATGCTCTCACCTCTTTGCCAAGTGCAGCTTCATAGTATGGACACTTCACACAAGCATCACATGCATTTCAGCATATTCTACCAAGCTTTTAAGTGAAATTTATGTTGTTAATTCTAAATTATGAGTACCTTGATAATTTGAGACCTAAGCTTTTTTCCCATCTTCTTCGGCCACAATTAAGATTTCTGCAGAGCAAAAGCAATGCAATGAAAGGAAAGTGGAAATGAGAAGCAAGTACCATTCAATCAAGAAACTTCATTTGAAACTCAGCTTTTCAGAACCAAGAATGCTGGAATGGCTTCAAAAGTCCATGTTTTCCCTCTGCTTTTCCTTCAGACAGCTGAAAAGGGAGCAGTCTGAAGACTGAGTTGTATATAATGATATATTTCAAATAACTGAATCATAGAATAGTTTGGGTTGGAAAGACCTTTAAAGGTCATCTAGTCCAACCCCCCTGCAGTGAATAGGGACATCAGGTTGCTCAGAGCCCTGGCCAACGTGACTGCAAATGTTCCCAGGGATAGGGCTTCTACCACCTCTCTGGGGAACCTGTTCCAGTGTTTCACCACCATAATTGTAAAACATTTCTTCCTTATATCTAGTCTAAATCTACCCTCTTTTAATTTAAAAACATTATGTCTTGTCCTATCGCTACAGGCCCTGATAAAAACTTTTTCCCCACCTTTCTTATAAGACCTCTTTAAGTACTGAAAGGCCACAACAAGGTCTCTCTGGAGCCTTCTCCAGGTTGAACAATCACAGATGTCTCAGCCTTTCTTCATGGGAGAGCTGTTATATTCCTCAGGTCATTTTTGTGTTCCTCCTCTGGACCCACTCCAGCAGGTCTTTCTTGTGCTGAGGACTCCAGAGCTGGATAAAGTACTCCAGGTGGAGAGCAGAGTAGAGAGGCAGAATCTCCTCCCTCAACCTGCTGGCCACACTTCTTTTGATGCAGCCCAGGATATGGTTGGCTTTCTGGGCTGTAAGCGTGCATTGCTGGTGGATGTCCAGCTTTCCATCCACAAGTACCCCCAAGTCCTTCTCTGCAGGGTTGCCCTCAATGCCTTCATCGTCCAGCCTGTATTGATACTGGGGATTGCCCCAACCCAAGTGCAGGACCTTGCACTTGGCCTTGTTGAACTTCATGAAGTTCACACAGGCCCACTTCTCAAGCTTGTCCAGGTCCCTCTAGAGGGCATCCAATCCCTCAGGCATGCCAACCACACCACTCAGCTTTGTGTCATCAGCAAACTTGCTGAGAGTGCACTCAATAACACTGTCTATGTCATTAATGAAGATATTAAATATTACCGGACCTAACACAGACCCCTGAGGGACACCACTTGTCACCGATCTCCATCTGGACATCAAGCCATTGACCATTACCCTCTCAACGTGACCATCCAATCAATTCCTCATCCACCAAACAGTCTAATCATCAAATCCATATTCCTCCAATTTAGAGAGAAGGATTTTGTGGGCCACTGTGTCAAAGGCCTTAGGAAAGTCCAGGTAGACAACATCCATAGCTCTTCCCTTGTCCACTGATGTAGTCACTATGTCAAAGAAGGCCACTATGTTCGTCAGGCAAGACTTGCCCTTGGTGAAGCCATGCTGTCTTGAATCACCTCCCTGTCCTCCATGTGCCTTAGCCTAGCTTCGAGAAGGATCTGTTCCATGATTTTCCCAGGCACAGAGGTGAGACTGACAGGGTGGTAGTTCCCAGGGTCCTCCTTTCTAACCTTTTTAAAAATGGGTGCAGTGTTTCCCTTGTTCCAGTCACCAGGGACTTCACCTGACTGCCATGACTTTTCATGGAGAGTGGCTTGGCAACTCCATCAGTCAATTCCCTCAGGACTGTGGGCTGCATCTCTTCACGTCCCATGGACTTAAATATATGCAGGTTCCTCAGGTAATCATGAATTTGATCTTAGAGCAGGAGGGACTTTGCTCCCTGAGTACCTGCCTTGCAATCCATCCACTCAAGAGGTGCAGGAAGAGAGGCTGCCAGTGAAGACTGAGGCAAAAAAGCAGTTGAGTGAGTACCTGAGTCTTCTCCTCATCTCTTGTTGGAGGTACACTTTCTTTGACCTTCCTCTTCTGGCCCACATACCTGTACAAGCACTTCTTATTACTCTGCATCTCTTGCCAAGTTCAGCTGCAGGTGTGCCTTGGCCTTCTTTTTTTATGATTTTGCGCTCTTCAGATAAATTGTAAGATGCAAGATGCAGAGCAAGACCCAAACAGAAATATTTTATGTGCTCAAAAAAATACATTAATATGAAGTACACAGCAATAACAATATAAAGTATATATCTGACCATTATTAACAGGGTCAGATTTTAAACAATTCTATTAATACTCCATAGACTCAGACAATCTTGTATTGGATACATCACAACTGTGATGTGTCCAAATATTACAGACCTCAGTCTGGAGAAAAGATACAAGTCTCAGTTTATCTATCAGTATTTTAAACTTTGGAAGTAAGTATACAGGGGGATTTTAAACTTTTCTGGATGTTCGACAACACACTGGATAACAGTAGTGAGGAGAATTTGACCTTTACTCAACTGTAATTGAGTATATCAGTAGTTAAAATAATACTCATTTGCTTTCAGTGGAATTTTTGCATTATGAATACAAGTTTCCTACAAAACATCAACATTTCTTGCTGGTCTCCAGGATCTTTACCTGGTGAAATATTACATATTCAATGCATCTGCCTTTTTTGAGAAAACTTGGTTTTGTTTCAGATCTTCTGACTGTGTCTCTTCCTGACAGATCTATTGGATGTCACCTTCTTTGTGTCACAGGGGAAAAACAATGAGGTAAAAAAGTGTATATACAAAATAGATTTATAGTTAAAATATATTTAGAGATGTATCAAGCAAGAAGAAGCATATATTCAGAGGAGGGGAAAAAAATAAAAATAAAGGAAAATGCATTTAGGGAAGAAAAAATTGTCCTTAGAGAGTACAGGGGAGAGAAACTTGGCAAAAAAAAAAAGAAAAAAAGAGAAATGACACTATAGGCTAGAGGAACTGAAAGGCTCAAAATTACCGTTATGCAAATCCATCACTGGTGCAGGATTTGACAATTAATTGTTTGGGAACTGCTGAGTTAGACTGAACCAAGCAAAGACTCCCTGACCTAGTTCAATATGATGTTATAAGAATACCAGCAGAGGCAGAAAATGGGCTGGTTGGGAATCGGAGTCTGCCTATCCAGTCTTCAAATCTACATAATTTGTCTTTTTGTCATTTACATATGTTTTATCCTTAATTTTAATGCACTTCTTGATTTTTGGAAGTTTTCATTATACTCTAAGGATATGGTAATACTACATCTTATGGTTTCATAGCTATCATTCAGGCCACTTGGAAGGATTGTTCATTAGGCATCATGGAGATAACTTCTGGAGATCTAAGTGGCAAGCTGTCATGCTGCAGTGAAAGTAGTTAAAAAAAGAACATTAACTAGGTCAGCCCCAGAAAACGAGTTGTATAACAGTACTTGTTACAAACAGAAAAATTATTTTTTGCAGTCTTTCATTGAATATGGAGCAATAGGAATTAACGTCACAATGAACATGAAAAATTTTGAATGGCTTTTTTGCACCATGTTTCAAATAAATTTGCACTAAATATAATTCTGCTAAGATTTTCTGTTTTGAATCTGTCAGGATATCAAGGCAACGTATTTTATACTTTCTAAGACTGGGGTATAGCTAAGAAGGATTTTTAGTTAGGAACACTGACATTGGTTATCTACATAACACGGATATTTATTGAACAGTGGTGTGAATTGTTACCCTTGCTAAGCAGCCTCATTTTTTAAACAAAAAATGGCTCCCAAAATTACAAGCTTTTGTTACATTTAAAAATCAAATTGGGTTCATCTATCATCTAAATTAATGTAGTAACATTCTGGTGTGACATTCTCTAAACAACTATTTCCTGGTAATTCCAGTACAAAAATCAAAGTTGTATTTCACAAAAATCTTCTAAAATGTAAGCAGTGTGGAATAAGTCAGTGGCCAAATTAGGGAAAAAAAATCACATTATTTAAATATTATACCTTTACGATATTCATTCCAGTTCTCTTTAATAGTCACTTAGTGGGATTTCTTTTATGCATCACTGCATATTTATGCTGTAGTTAGTTGTCTTTATAAAGAGAGAGAAATACATTTGTATATTAAACATCTGCCACAGGATGAGACAAATTTCCTAGAAATGGCCATTTCTGCCTGATGAATAAGAAGATAATCCAGAAAGTTAGCCCAGGTACTACATTACCTACTTTATGGATATTTGAAAACTGGTGAAATAAATCCCACCACTGTGCTGACTTGTACCTTGCTATCGATCCCTCATTGTCTCTGTGTTGTAATCAAAATACTATTTATACTGAAAACTTTTCAAGAGCTTGACTAATTTTCAATTTGTTCATCATTTTTCTTCAGTACCTTGCACAATGAGACTATAACTACACAAGTGAATTAGACATGCTTACCTGATTAGTGTTTCACATATGCATGGCAATGTTCTCAGCTTTGTGCCAGAAAAATAAACTCATTATGCTGTGGGGGAAAAAAGCTTAATGGAGATCCTTAATAGCCTATAAGGAAAGATAATGTTGCTTGGATTGAAATGAATGAAAAATAATGCTGTGCATGTATGCAGTTTTACCTATTAGAGCTGTTGCATAACCTCTTTGCTTCAGGAGTTTGGAAAAAGTTATTTCTTCAGAAGGAAGTCCCCCAGAAGAGGCAGAAAATAAGAAGACACCAACTCGTGAGAAGGCAGCCATTCCTAAATACAAAGAAAATTAATGAGACCTGGATAATGCAGTGAAACAATTTCCATTCATTCTTTCTGCATGCACTTTTTTGCTTTAGGTGGTGTCACTTAAATGACATATTACCACCAGACGCTAAACGTTACAAGCAGCAGACACAAACATCCATTTAGCTGAGCAAAGTCTTTTCAGTATTGACACCAGAAACTGAGAAGTGGAGAAAAAATTCTCTGCTTATAACTGTGGGGCCAGCCATCACATAGACAGCTGCAGCCCCTTCTGTAGATGTTCTAAGCTATAACATAGCTGAAAGAAGTTGAGTTTGTATGATTTATTTTTCTTGTACATGGGGAAGGAGTGGAGATGAGGACTAAGCAAGATCACTCCCAGAACTTCCATTTTCCTCATAGGTGGTTTTCTACAAGCTTTTAAGTTTATTTGAGAGAAGGCAGTTGAAATAGGGTAGTCTTACAACTGGGCATGTAAATATGATGAGGTCAAAAAAGAGCAAGAAAGATTCTTATTCTGGAAAGAGAGTGGTTAGGGCACTCAGCCTCAACTGGAGAGGACTAGTGCTCCAATAGCATGCAGACACATGACTCAATGCACACAGAGTGCATTAAAGCAGCATCAGGTATCAGCTAACAAAACAACACCTAAATAGTCAGAGGAACAAAAACTTGAGCTTATAAACTACTCTCAGGATGAAGGACTTGAGAGCTCAGGTTCATGAAAATTAGATTACTAGGATTCCAGATGAGAGCTGGCTCTGAGTATAGATAGGCAGAACACAGAATATCTATGCAAATCTGTGCAGATGTATCTCCAGGAAGTCTAAATTATGCAACTGGATGATTGCAGTGCCAAAGTTACATGACTGATGTAGACAACCAGAATCTTCCCTCAGGTATCCTTTGTGGTTAGATGAGAAAAAGACTTGTTAGACTGGTTTATTAAAGAGAGCTCAACCTACCTTTCAAATGTTGACTTCATTTTTTCACCCCAGATAGCTTTATTGAGTAACAGTTTAGGTAGTTTTAGTCATCTATACATAGCTATAATTTATTTATTATGTACTTATTTATATTTATTTTTAGGTACTTCAATCTTTTGTAACTGAAATCAGTATAATTCCCTTGAGTTACCAGAATTAAAGTACAGAACTATGTTTTTGGGGTTTTTTTTCCCCATTGTTATCTTTCACTGAGTTTGTGTCTGAAATACTGCATTTTGGAATATTTTTCTTCAGCTCTATTAGCAAAAGTTTTAAATTTGTAACATTTTTTCCTCATCATGATTCTAGAATCTTCCATAATAATACTTTACTAGTTCTTCACTGATGTTTGTAAGTAGTCCATATTTAGCAATTTTTTACTTTAATTAAGACAAAGATAATTTTTTTGCACCTAAATGGAAATGACTAGGTTGAGTAAAAAGTAGATCTGTTAAGAAAAACATCAACTGAAATGCTTATTTTTTAGAAATAAGAACAAGGATTGTAATGGAAAGCGACCTGTGGTTTTACCTACAGTAAATATTAATAGCAATATAGCTGTAACAGGTATATAAAATTTTCCTTTGCAGCTGAATGTAATGGAAAATTTAGCAAGTTTTATTAGCTGGCACTTTTGCAGAAGTTTGTTACTTGATTTGAATGAGGACGAATGTATCAAGTAAGCTCCAGAGTCTTGCTTTACTTTCATTCCCAGAAGCAAGGACAGGATGTTTTATCACTAATGAACAAGTGATCTGATTAATGTATAATGATCCTTGCTAAAAATGATGTTAAGGGAATGTTAAAGTTGCATGGCTAAGCACTGAGGGGTTCAGTCCCAGCACACTAAAATAAACAGACTGGATCTTCACTGACTCAAATGGGCTTTGGATCAGGTACTTTAAAAGCTATTAAATGCATGTATTCATAGGATACTTAGCACTGAGTACGGGTAGATATGGAACAGAAATACTCAGAAAGAAGGGAATTTTTTTTGTTTTTTTCTTCTCAGTTTTAATGGCTGCTGGAACATTTTAATAAACTGAGCTTCTCACCCTCTCCCCTTGAAAAAATTACAATTTGTCTAAACCAAAAGGTTTTGTAGAAACAAAAATGTCTGAGCAGAAGGATTTACACTGGATTCTTCCACTATGTCTTTCTAGACGCATCTCTCTGGTGTTCAGCACTCAGGCTGCCCACCAACATCCTGGGAGCAGACTGAATGCAACTGGGGAGGCAGGCAAAGATCCCAGGGTCATCTGGACAGTGGAGAAAGTTGGTGGAATTTCTCTGCTTCTTACATGAAATAACCACAACCAGATTTTTTCCTCAGTATTTTAAAAAATATTTTTTATCAATAAAAAAGCTTTATTTTCGTGTTAACTCTTCTGAAATGTGAAGATTTCTCATATATTGAGTTTCAACAATGCCAAGTCCTGGGTCCTGCACTTGGGTCACAACAACCCCATACAATGCTACAGGCTTGGAGAAGAGTGGCTGGAAAGCTGCCTGGCGGAAAAGGACCTGGGGTGTTGGTTGACACCAGTTGAATATGAGCCGGCAGTGTGCACAGGTGGTCAAGAAGGCAAATGGCATCCTGGCCTGAAACAGTGTGGTCAACAAGACCAGGGAAGTCATCCTTCCCCTGTACTCAGTAATGGTGAGGCTGCACCCTGAATACTGCGTTCAGTTTTGTGCAAGCCAAAAGGGTGAATCCACCCAAACCACCGCAATCCCTCACTACAAAAAGGACATGCAGGCACTGGAGCGCGTCCAGAGAAGGACAACAAAGTTGATGAAGGGCCTGGAGAACAAATCTTATGAGGAGCAGCTGAGGGAACTGGGGTTGTTTAGCCTATAGAAGAGGAGACTGAGGGGAGACCTTATCACTGTCTACAACTACCCGAAAGGAGGTTGTAGCGAGGTGGGTGTTTGTCTCTTCTCCCAAGTAAGTAGCAATAGAACAAGAGGAAATGGCCTCAAGTTGTGCCAAGGGAGGTACAGATTGGATGTCAGGAAAAATTTCTTCACTGGAAGGGTTATGAGGCACTGTAATGGGCTACCTAGGGAAGTGGTTGAGTCACTATCCCTGGAGGTATTTAAAAGATGGGTAGATGAGGTGCTCAGAGATATGGTTTAGTAGTGGACACGTATGGTTGGACTTGATGATCTCAAAGGTCTTTTCCAACCAAACAATTACATGATTCAATGATTGATGGAAGATTTCAAATGCTGACCAACTCTGCTGAGCTTGATTACTCACTGAAATGAATACCTAACCCGGTAACGATAAAGATATGAAGAAAGGCCAGAGAAAAAAATGCATACAGTTTACTGCAAATAAAATATGATATTTATATAGAAATAAAGTAATAGTATTTTACCTGATCTGATAGGGTATCGCCCTGTCAGGAAAGCTGCCCTGCTTGGAGTACAAAGTGGGGATGCTGCTATATGCTGAGTAAGCGTCACTCCTTCCTCTGCTAGCCTGTCAATATTAGGGGTTCTAGAGAAACAAAAGCAAGAAAAAAAAAAAAAGAATACACAAAGATGATTATTTGGAAATGGGCATGGTGAAATCAAAGTATCCAAGTAAAAAACTATCAGGAAAATCAAGTTAAGACTTAGTGTATGCAAATGATCAAAACTATGGTAGTGTCGTGATTCTAAATACCATTGCGTTAAACATTTTTACACTAGGGGTCAACACAGAACTGAGACACTGTGGCATTGTGCCAAAAAGCATTTTCCCCACTTTCATCTACTCTTCATGGTCAGTACTAAACTGTAATACCTGGACATACTGTATTGTAACCCTTTTCAAAGCATTCATTGACCCAGAACTGTAACTTTGCTACTTACCCGGCCTTTCTGCTTCAGCAATAGGGAGAGGAGACTGGAGAAATTTTGTGCTTCCTTACTCCTTACTTGGTGTCACTTCTGTCTTTCCCCAGCAAAAGTTTTTTTTTGGGTACGGGTAATATTGTGTGGTGGTATCAGTTATTAGGGGAGATTCAAGCGGTTATGACTCTATGTGAGGCTCTATATTAATGATGTTTACATGTCTGACATGACTATGTTTGCAATATTAGACCCAGAAGCACATCCAAGTTTCCATATCTGCATGGGTAACTTGTCTGTGACCTGGCTCATGAGACAAAAATTGGTCCTTGCAGGAAGAAATCCTCTGCTCTTGGTCCTAGAGAAAAAAAAATTAATTTGCCAACAGACAACTTTGCTATCTACAACATCACCTACTGATAACAAGCAGTATGATGAAGTTTCTTCATACACCAAAGGTCTAATTCTGAATTCTCACATCAGAGAACATAGATCTTGTAGTAGTTCTGGTCCTTGTAAAGGGAGTGATCCAAGTATTGGCATTGTATATACTTTTTTCCTGTTTAAAACAGGAAGCTGTAACTGGAGGGTTGTTTGTTTTTTTTT